ATGAAAATTCTTAAAGAGCTGCCATGTCTGCAGAGACTGACTATTAGAACTGCAGCACTGTGGAGAGTTGGAATGTTACTGATCCAGAGGCTAGTTCCTTATCTTGGGCTAGTTCTAACCTTCTAGAACAGCCATTCCGTGCCCACCTGGTTCAGAACTAACATCTTGTGAATAGTACATAGAAACCTTTTACAATCCATTAGCTTCACCGACCACTAACTTCCACCAATCCAGACGTTAAGAATGTTACCAGATAGCATCCTGAGACTATAGAAAAACTCCCCACCTTATCTTAACTGTCTCTTCTGCGCACACCAATGTATTTTAAACTTCCCTTCACTTAGAACTTTTTTGTTCTATAAAACTTCATGGAGCCTCTTCCATGTTGGGAAATAGAACTTGGGATAACCTAAATCTGTGTTCCCAGGTCATTCAGGATGGCTCCAGAATAAACTATGTCCTACTTCCTTTAACACGGGAGGTGTGGTTTTTTGCATCAATCAACACACCTCACACACTCTCCATCTGGACAACTTTTCTAACAATGCCACTGAGTCACCATTCCTTTTGTATTTCTATTCTTCTTATAACTATTTCCCCTGGGGAGGAAAAGAACAATTTACCAGAAACTCCTCCCAAATCATGGGCATTAAGTGGCCTCGCTGAGGCCACTGTGTCACGCGCAGTACTCCATGTCAAAAATGAGCACAAATTAAACTGGACCTTCAAAAAAACAAGGGAAACAATAAACAGCAAAACAATGGTCTGAGATTTATTATCAAGCAGCACTGGAGTCTTTTAGGATATATTGTGACTTTGTTACCAATAATTAGTCTCTCCAGACAGTGGTGGTACAAGCCTTTAATTGGGAGGCAGAGGCAGGTGGAACTCCGTGAGGTCAAGGCCAGCCTGATCTACAGAATGAGTCTCGGGACAGCCAACGCTACACAGAGAAACCCTGTCTCAAAAAAACAAAAACAAAAACAAAAACAACAACAAAATGATTATTCTCAGGGGCACTGAGTATAAATGTGAACTTTACTAAAAACTTACTATTTTTCTGAAGCAGTATTCTAATGTTGGTATAATATTCTCCTAAATAGAAGATGCAGCCATATATGAACAAACAAAAAATGTGTCCAAAGACATAAGTGCACACAGACAGACAGACAGACAGACAGACAAACAGCACACCATCCAGGAAGTTGTTCATTTGCCTCCTCCCCGCATCCAGGAAGAGCTGCACAGACTCGTCCTAAGACAGAGACAAATCATGGGGTGCTCGGCAATACAACATTCGTACACAGCACAGATAAATACAGGTGTTTGCTTCAGAGGCACATACACTAAAATTAGAATCACATGGAGAATAGCACGGTCCTTGCACATGATGATAACAAAAAGAAAAAAGGTCTTACCCACCCCATTCTTCAACCTGAAGAGACGTTGTTGTAAAATGAGAACCACATGGAAAAACTAAAGAATATCAAACTCAGATGTTTCAATCCTTCAGCTGCGCAAAAAGAACAAAAGCAGTTGGTATAATTTTAGAACTGAGAATCTTGTGCTTGGGAACCTCACTTCTTATTCTTAGCATCTCGGGCAACATGACAGGTAGATGGATAGGAAGATGACAGGAGGGTGGCTGGAGAGGGTGGAAGGAAGGATGGACTAGCTGTGAGGAGACCACGTTTACATGTATATGTTCTATAAGTAAACCTCGGGGTCTGTGTGTTTGAAATAGCATGAGATGGGTGTTGTTTTAGATTTATTCCCTTTATTTTATGTGCATGAATGTTTTGCCTTCAAGTAAGCCTGGTGCCTGAGGAAGTCAGAAGAAGGCACCAGATGCCCTGGAACAGGAGTTATGGATAGTCGGAAACCACCACAAGTGCTGGGAACTGAACCCCAGTCCTCTGCAAGAACAACAGTGTCCTTAACCATTGAGCCATCTCTCCAGCCCTGATTTCTTTTTTTAATGAGAAACTCTCAGAAGTCTTTTTGTTTTGTTTTAAGTCTGTATGCTGAAGAGTGTTTCTTTGGAAGTCTTGTGACAGTGATTGTGGTTCATATGGGGCAAATATACAAAAGAAATTGCCATTCTGTATTTGTGACAAGGATAAACTGGAGACTGAGATAACTATACAGTTAAAGGGGTAAGAGGAAGGCTGAGAAGCAGGCTGAGACACAAATGCCAATGACAATTCTGGCACTAAGAACTTGTGTTAGTGACCATGACAAAATGCCTGAGGAAATGAACGCAGAGGAGGAAACATTTGCTTTGGCTCTGGGTTTCTGAGGCTTCCGTAAGTGCTCACTCTACTTGTCTCCTAGCCTGTGGGTAGCACAGCATCAGGGCAGGGAGAATGTGATCGAGCACACATGCTCACCTCATGGTGACCAGGAAACAGAGAAAGAGGGGACTGGGCTCCCAGAGGCCTACTTCCTCCAACCAGGCCCCAAAAGTATCCACGGCTTCTCAACATCAGCACCAGCTGTGGACAAAGCCTTCAACACATGAGCCTTGGAGGTCATTTAAGATTCAGATTGTGGGCCAGAAAGATGGCTCAATGTGGGCAAGGACTTGCAGCCAAGCCTAAAGACCTGAGTCTGATCCCCTGGGGCCCACGTGGTTAACGGAGAGGGCAGATTTCCACAAGTTGTCCTCTTCACATACTACATGAGCCATGACAAGTGCACTCCCTGTCCAACCCCCACCAAAAGTTAATTAACTATTGAATTAAAAACTTTAAAACATGCCAATTGTAATGAACTTGGAGCCACAAAGTCTCCATGCTAGCCAGAGAGAGCTGTGGGAGGGAGAGAGAAAAGGAGTGGAGGTATTGATCTATCCCTTCCTTGCTTCAAGCTTTAAAGGGCTTTTTTGTGTCAGCTGTTGTATCTTATGCTAACATCCTGGGTTACAGAGAGAGCAGGCATCATGATCTCTTCCCAGCAAATAAGGGAACTGGGTTTCAAAAGACACAGTAAAGCACAAAGCAAGACAAGAACCCAGGACCCATCACCAGGTCAGAACTCACTGTGCTGGCTTCAGGTTACTGTGTCACTTGACTTACAATGGGAGATCACGCACAGCATGGTCCATGCCCATAGAGGAGTCACAGACTAGTAGGAAGACATTAGGCAGTCTCCCCTTAAATGTTTTTGCTGTTGTTGTTTTAAAGATCTTCAACAGAATTTAGCAATGCCTCTGAGGTATTTTTAAAAATTTTAATAGGAACTTATGCAGAGATTTTATTATAATAAAGCTACACAAGTCTCAGTTCTGACACCAGCATCCCCACTTAATGCTGGAACACAACTATCTCCATCCCCTATAAGACAGAAGCCAACACAAACAGACACGAAAATAATCAGATATAAGAAGAATCATTTACTTGGAGACCATAATAGAACACTTGGAAACTCCAAAAGAATCCATGGCAAAAACTGACACAACTGAAAAAGAATTTGGTAAAATAGCAGAATTTAAGGTTAACATATGATAACCATCATGAAAGTCCAATAACACACTCTAGGAATACATTGCCATGCATGGCTGGCGGGCATGCAAAATAGTAAACCACCTATGGGAAGAAGTATGATTATATTTACCAAAATGACATGTTTATTTGGCTTGTGATCCAGAATCTCATTCCTAGTCAAGTATCCCAAATAAATATTAATAAAAATGAAATTTTAAAGCATTCAAAATAGGAAGAAATGAGCAATCTTTAGCATGATAGACATACATCTTCAAGTGTGGTGGTGTCCATGAGAACGCTCCCACAGGCTCAGATGTTTGAACACTAGGCCCCTAGTCAGTGGACGGTTTGGGTAGATTTAGAAGGTATGGCCTTACTAGAGAAAATATGTTACTGAGGGTGTGTTTGTCACTTTGGGGTTTTAAAAGTCACATGCAATTCCCAGTGTGCTCTTTGTTTCCTGCTTTCAGTTCAAGAAAGACACGAGCTCTCAGCTTGCTGCTCCAGCTGCCACGCTGCCTGCTGCCAGGCTTTCCCACTGTAATGGTGATGAATTCTTACCCCTCTGGAATCATAAACCCTTCCTTCTGTAAGCTGGTTTGATCATGGTGTTTTATCACAGCCAACAGAAAAATAATGAATACACCACGATACATATTTTGTTGGGGGAAAAATGCAAAGTAGAGAAAAGTAGACCAGTTGTAGTGATGTATACATATAACCGCAGTACTCAAGGGCCAAGATGAGACAACTGTGAGTTCAAGGCCAGTGTAGCTATGCAGCAAGGCTCTGCTTAGAAAGGGGGAGTAAAGAAAAGGAGAGAGGGGTAGGCTGTGCACAGCAAGCTAGTGTTCATCTAATAGGAAGGGAATGAGATTGAGCATGCACTGTGTGTGACATGTCATGTAGACACATGACAACTTCAAGAGTTTATTTTGGCTAACAGTTCCAGAAGAATAGACGTCCATAATGGGAGGGGTGCATGGCAGCAGATGGCTAGAGCAGGATGCTAGAGACCACACCTCAGTCTCACACAGGAAGCAGGGGAGTGAACTAGAAGTGAAGCCCTAAACACTAAAAACCCACCCCCATTGACATTCTTCCTCCAGCAAGGCTGCTCCTTGTAAAGGTTCCATAAATCCCAAAATGGCACCACCAACTGGTGACCAACTGTTCATATATGAGGGGACATTTCTCCTTAGACCACTGCAGAAGGTTAAACAAACCAAAACAAAAGAACAAAAATGCTTCCAAAATGGGGTTGCCTGTGGAGAGAAAGGAAACCGAGAAAGGAGGCAAGCTAGACCTCAATGAATCTATCTTATTTTATAGATTCATCTTTGGAATTGTGTATTTTCCTTAACCATAAAACAAGAGCCGCAGTGAAGACAGGATTTGCTGACATGACTGTCTGAATGAACAGTCAGCAGGCTTCCAGGGACGAAGCTGGGTGGTCAGAGTCAAAGCCAGAAGAAGACGTTTGGAGGAGCAGAAGGGCTACACCTTAGCACTTACCTCAACTTTGCTCTCAGCTTCGTGATCAACAGCTGGGAAATACACAACCTCCTGCACTTCATCTCTAGGCCGGGCTGAGTTTTTCCCAAACACCACCAAACCATCTTTGGCTCGAGGTGGCAAAGCCACAAAACAGTAACTTGGTGGAGCGCCAGACATCCTGCAATGAGAAGAGCAGTGAGGAATATGGCCGCAGGCGGGACAGGGGACACTCCAACTGACTGTGTTTGACTCACACATCAGCAGCTAATACAGGCTAACTCAGAACAGGATCACAGCTAGCACTAAGCTGGGGAATCTGAAGTAGAAATGCACATGCTTCGTCATTCATGGGGCAACAGGCCATAGCTGCAGCCAAAAAAGAGCAGTGATGTAGGAGAAAGGAAAAGAGGTTATTGTTCCCGGCATCACACATGTGCGCCTGCACAAGTGCGTGCATACACATGCACACAGCAATCTGTCACATGAATAAATGAATAAATGATATACACCTGTCTTTTGGTATTCACAGAAGATTGATGCCAGGACCCTGCAGAGACGCCCAGGTCCCTCATTTAAAAAGGTGCAGTATTTGCTCATAACCTATACACGTTTCCTGCAGACTTTAAGTCATCTCTAGATTGCTTAGAATGCCTAAAAGAATGTAAATGCTCCATAAAAAATTCATATGCTATACTCTTTGGGGAATAATAAGATGAAATAGCCTTGCGTGTTTAGTTCAGAGGTAATTCCCCCATGCCGTAATTCTGACCCTCAGTTGTCTGAACCCACACATGTAGAATTGGCAAGGATGCAGTGAGCCAACTCTCCCTTGCAGATGTGCCTTGGACCAGAGATGCATTGTGGCCATCACCAAACAGAGTTGGCCATTATGAGGAAAATTATGTGGAGATGTGAAAGGTATGACCACTCTTTTGAAGTAATTTTACTCTGCCTCAAAGGCATAATATTACAAGTTCTTTGGGTTTTCCTCCCTCTCTATTGGCTCCTGGGCTGGCTTGTTCTCATTTCCCCTGGGTGAGGGTGGGATGCAAACATGCACAGAGATTCCTTGCACCAATAACTTCCCCATCTAAGCCCTGCTCAGTTCTCAACTTGAGTTTCCAATCCCTCTACCCAGACAACTCTCTGATGTCAAAGGCTGATCTTTCTCAAACTGGGTCCCTTCTCCCAGATCTCGGGTACCAACTCCACCATCCATCCTACTGGAGTACCGGGGTCTCAGAAGCCATCCTTACTATCTGCTTCACCATCTCCTACAGCCCTCTGGGAATCCATCATTCATTTTCCTCCCAGCTGCCACAACCCTGCACCATCATCTCTAGGCAGGATCATATGGGAGCCCCTCAGGAATTTCTGAAAAACCTGTTTCCCACTTTAAAACACTCTCCACAATGCTGCCAAAGCAACTTTTTTTAAAAAAAAAAAAAAAAAGAATGCCTTCAATCATCTAATCTCTGCATTGAATACTTTGAAAGTCTATGCCAGCTCTTAAAACAGAGACCTGGTGAATAAGGTCAAATCGGCCTGTGTTCCCTGCCTCAGTTTCACCTCACACTGCTCACCCCTCCACCCTCAGTAGCACACAGGCCTCTTTCCAGTTCTCCAGCATCCCAGGGCTTTTCCTTCACTCCCCCTCCACCCCTGTTCATTCTGTGGTCCCTACGCAGCTGAGTGATTCTCACAGCTTCCATCCAAGTTCAAACACCATTGTAACCCACACGATCACATTACACTTCTCATCAAAGCCTGTCCTTTACTTTTGAAGTAACAGCCGCAATCTGAACTACTCTGTAACCATCTCATTATCAACAATTGATAGTCTTTCCCTCCAAAGACCACACACAAAATGAAAGTGAGATGCAAGTCTCTTAACACACCGCTACAAACCCAGATCCAAATGATGTCTTGTGCGGGATAGGTTTTCAATAAACAAGTGTTCCTTTCTTGTTTTCTAGCATTCTGCAAGCTGAAGTTTGTGTCTACAGGTGCCTGCTTTGCCATCAAACCTCTGCACCTGGCCTGAGGGCCCTTTCCCTTAGGCTTTTCACATATTAGGATGTGATTCAAAGTAGCTTCTGGGAGAGTTCTAGAAAGGGCTTGGCCAGTTATTCAGCATTCATGAGCGCTAACACATTCAGTTTTTCCTAGAGCAACATACACTTGTTGCTCGTAAATATATTTATTCATCTGCTTCACAAAAAAAAAAAAGCCCCTAAGGGCAGGACCCATGCCACCCAATACAGTGGCCCCTTCTCCGAGTCCAGCATTAAGACACTCGCTGAGCCCACTTTCATTCTTTGCCATCAGTTGCTCAACTAAACACATCTTATTTTGTGTGTCCAGAATTCAACAGAAGTAAAGATATAGCCTCCCAAAAGCTCTAAACAGCAGTTCTCAACCTGTGGCTCTCAACCATTTGAGGGTCAACAGATATTTACTATTTGTAGCAGTAGCAAAGTTACAGTTATAATGTAGCAACAAAACTAATTTTATGGTCAGGATCACCACAACATGAGGAACTGTATTAAAGGGTCGCAGCATTAGGAAGGTTGGGAACCACTGTTCTAGACCGAGACTCAAAGCTCAGCTCTGCCAGCTACCAGCTGTGTGACCATGGCCAAAGCACTCTGCCTCTCTGAGCCTTGCCTTTATTCCTCTTCTGCAAAGGTTTTGTCTCACCTCACAAGCTTCTTACACACATCAAGTTATATGACCCAGAAGACATACTTTGTAAATGTTACGGGCTGTGTATGTAGAAGATACCATAGGGGCAGCACTCCAAATTCCCCCTGTGCAAGCCAGTCAAAACTGACTAGCTTCATTTACCCCGACAGCAGCTATGAGTCTCAGAGTCAGCCATGTTTAAAAACTACCTTCCTTGTTCTATGCCAGGCTACACCAAGCACAGGTCCTCAATTTATAAGAGATATTTGCAGAATACACAAAACCCAGGAGGCTTTTGGCAATCACCTATTCTTCTGCTTGCTCAGTACGTCAGCGAGGTCATTGTGTCAAGTGACCATGAAGAGGACCCCGACGACAACAGAAGCCAAGGAAGGTGGGCGTCAGGGAGGCTGGCTTTCTCATTGGGTTTTGTGGGCAACCAGGAATGCTAGAAGGCAATGGACCAATCTCTCTCCCTCTCTCCCTCTCTCTCTTTATTCCTCTCCCCCCTTCCCTCCTCCCTCCTTTCCCCTGTCTCCCCCAA